CAAAAACTGGAAACCCCCAATCAAACATTCTGACCAGTAAAGCGGGATTCACAGAAGCTTTTTTGCGATGCGACACGCGATGCGACGCGATCTGCGATGGATGCGTGCGATGCGAACTCGCGAAATACCATTCACAGAAGAAGTCAGCTTTGCGACAAAGTCTTGCAGATTTGGCTACGTCACCATGATATTCGCGCGGTTTGATACAACTTGTACAAATTTATAGGCAACTCTTGAACCTTTGTACAACTTTGCTGTAGAAAAGGTCAAAATCGTACGCCAAATCGCTTGTCGCATCGCAAAAGTTGAGCCAAGCTCAACTAATAATACTTCTGCGATGGCCTGCGATGGCCCAGTTGCGTCAGTTGCGTGGGGTCCGCGATGGTTGCGATTTGGGGATTTCCCGGTTTCGCGGCTGTCGCATCGCGTGTCGCATCGCAAAAAAAGCTTCTGTGAATCCCGCTTTAAGCATGTGATATATACAATATTTCTGGGTCTAACGGCACTTGCAGGCATAGAACAACACTCTTTGTTGGTACATAATCATTGGAGCACATGCCTGATGAATCCAACAAAACAGGTACTGTAAAAGCAGAAATTTTCGGTGGTGTAATATTTTCGGTATTCGCCAAAATCGGCGGTTCGGTAGCGGGAAATTTTCGGTAAAACCCGTTCTCCAGGCAGGTGTACTAGTACTACATGTATACAGTATCGGTTGTACCGAAAATTTCGGTGCGTTTTATTTTCGGTTAAAATTGTCGGCACCGAAGTTACCGAAAATAAAACACCACCGAAAATTTTCTGCTTTTACAGTACATAGCATGGAGTTAGCATGTCATGAATTCATTACATCTGGATTTTTACTAGGACACACACCGTACGATATTTAAAAGCCAACAAAAAAAGAAAAAGAACACAAGACAAAGGCATGCCCGGGAGGCAAGATTATAAGTTCAAGGTCATGATCGGCACACTGTGAAACTACACAATCATGTATTTACAACTTCGCATATTATTGGTACTACTACTTTCTTGTTTTTTTTTCGGTCGGAGGCAAAAAGGTACGCGGGCGCGGACGTTAAACAACGAAAAAAGAAAGGGTGGCCTAAGCCTGGTTTTCGCAGAAGTAAGGACCAGAGTATAAATACCAGGGAAATAAGGGAGGTGACACGAGCATGTACGGCCAGTTTGACGATTGCCTCAGCACCGTTTTCACCCGCCGGGTGAGATTGGGGTACTATGGGTACCGAAGTTAAGTGTGTAGACACGCGCGCGGATCAGGATTCTCTCGATCAGGGAGTAGTAAAATACCTACCGCCAAAGAGACTCCTTCTGCAGCCCGTAGAAACTCAGCGCTGAGAATTTCCAACAATTGTCTGCCTTCACAAAGTTTGGTAGTCGACCAAACTACCACTATGTCAGGATAGAAGTCCAGCAAGACTGGTATCACTTTGGAAGATATCCCTGCGTGCCGTAGATTTTTCCTGTGTCGATACAAGCTGTTTACGAGGACGTAGCCCGCATTTCAATCCTTGACAAACTTAGGAACATTTCATTCCGAAAAGTGAACTCCCGAATCTCTAGCATACCATAACATTATTATTATTATTATATATTTGAGGATTTCCCAAAGACGTAGTCTAAATTGAAGGGAGTTCCATTATAATGGGAGGCTGTAGGGTTGAGATAGCAGACAGTGGAGGGCTAATAATTCGTAATGAACAGCCTAGCAAGAGAAATACAATTATGCTGAATGTTCCAGAATGGTCCTTTAATCAATGATACCTATAGCCTCGGGATATGCCTTGAAATACGAAATGTACCGAAACAGAAACACAAAAATTAATAAGAATAAGCGCAACGCACAAAGAAGGAGGACAGAGGCATGTCAGTGAGGAGTGGCATTGTGTTTAGTGTCAGAGAAGTGCGTGCAAATGTGACTGTGAAACAGGGACTGCGAGGCTGTGGCTCTCAGGTCTGCGGGCAAGGCATTCCAGACAGTAGCGGTGCGGAAGAGAAATGACCTCCTGGCGTGTTTCCCAACCCGTGGCAGAGTGAATGCGAGTTGGCGGCGGCGACTACGCGTGGGGCAGTATCCCGCTGCTTCAAAAAGTTCTGGTTGGGTGGTGACCAAATGGAAGAATTCCATAAGGCAGGCGATCTTCCTGCGCCAGGATAGACTTGGCCATCCCAGCTGTTTAAACAATGATGACTTGGGCTCGTCTGATGGGCAAGGGCATCTCTCAAGCCGCATGACTGTGCGAGCTACTCTGGCTTGCAGCCGTTCAAGGGTGAGCCGCTGTGCAGCAGAGAGGGAGGACTCCCATACTGGGGCGGCGTATTCTGCTGTGGGGCGGACATACGTAAGGTACAGCTTCCTGACGATGTCTCCTGTTAAACGGTCAGCCATATGGCACAGAAGAACGCAGCGTTGTCTAAACTTGCTTATTGTCTGTTCAATATGCTCCTGGAAGCTGAGTGTTTCACTCAACAACACTCCCAGGTGACGGTGACTGGTTGACGGCTGGATACCGCGGATGGTCTCTGCAGCTCCTTCCTCAGCGAATGAGATAACAACGGTTTTCGATGGGTTGAAGGTTCCGCCTACTCGGTCGGCCCAGGCAAATGTGTCCTGCAGGGCAGTCTCCATTGGGCTGGTACCTTTGGTTCGTGCTTTGCCGACGGCGGTGTCATCCGCGAACAGGTAAACATCAGCGTGCTGGTTGCGTTTCGAGGCACTGGGTAGGCTGTTGATATGTACCAGGAAAAGCAATGGCCCGAGGTGGGAACCCTGGGGTACTCCAGACTTGACGGGACGTGGGGAGGACAGATGGTGTTGGACTCGGACGCTGAATGTACGCGTATCGAGGTAGTTCTTAAACCAACTCGTAGCCGGAGCATCGCAGATAGTCCCGAGTTGCTGGAGAAGCACGTCATGCGGCACTTTATCGAAGGCCTTCGCAAAATCGAGAAATGCAGCATCGTAAGGGATGCGTTTATCCAGGCGATCTTAGTAGTGAGCTGTATCAGCTGGTCAACTGTGGAGCGATCACGGACAAAGCCGAACTGTTCCGGGACAATGATGTTGTTGACCTCGAGATAGTGACCGAATTTGGTGGCGACAATCTTGTCTAGTGCTTTCGCAATAGCTGGGAGTAGGGTTATAGGGCGGTAGTTGGAGGGATCACACGGGTTACCTTTATTTTTAAATATGGGGATTACTGTTCCCAGCTTCCAGGCACTAGGAAACTCACCTAAGGTGAGGCTAGCGTTAAACAGGTCGGTAACAGAGGACGTTATACATGGTGCGATCTCTCGGAGGATCCTGTTCGAGATGTTCCCGCCTGTTGCCTTATGCTGCGGGAGCCTTCGGAGCACCCGGTACACTGAGGATTCGGCCAAGACTGGCAGAGAGAATAATTCATTCGGACAGTCGTCGGCTGGTGCTGGTATTGTACCTGTACCGTGAGCAGGAGTGCACTGGCGCTCATGAAATGCTCATCATCACAAAGAAGGTAGAGAAGTACTGGTTGATCACAACTGAGGAGAAATTATTGCCGATCGTGTGGTGTCCTAGAGATTTTTTCGACTTCGAAATCGGTGCACTCGCTTTTCATCTCCAATCGTACACGTATTGTTCTCAAGGAAATCAACTAATTACTTCGTTCTATTGCTCCATGCCGTCGATCGGGACGAATTTCGGAAGGGTGGTACCTTTCCATATGGTGATGACACAGATGTATCACAAGAGCAAAACAAATGCTGTTCCATGAGATGGATAGACCTTTTCATGGAATTAGTTCTTCGACAAATACTCAAGATTGATTCAGCAGATCATCTTTTTTTGCGAAAGAAAAAAAACAAGCGCGAGGCACCCATCAAAAATCACGATTAGTGGCGTGCACGCGTGTCAGAGGCCTCCGGCTCCCTGTATTTTACTACTCCCTGATAAATACTATAAATTATAATGCCACTTTTGCGGAAATGTAGTGTTATAATGCTAGCATAATGCTCGTTGCAAATCGCACACTATAATGCTACTTATAATGCTAGCATTATCCGCCCAGGCCTACATGTATTCCAAACTCTTCGGAACTAATCCACCTCTCCCATCGGATGAGGTAGTGGAGTTTCGACTTTCGAGGAGTTTCATTTTTCTGAAGTGGCCAATAAGGCCACCTCTTCAGAAAAACGAAACTCCTCGAAAAGTCAGCGAACGCGCCCTAAATTACTCAGAATTACATGTTTATGAATAAAATGCATGTACATGTAGTAGCGGTATAATATCCGATAGGACATTATCCAGGGCAATTTCTACTCTAGAAGTATCACTGTATTCTTTGATAATGATCGTGTCGACCGACATAGGCTTTGTTCCACACAATTAAATTATTTGTAAATTGTAGTCGATGGATTCAGAGCGGAACAGTGCGTGCGCATGACTACACCCATTCCAGAAATGGACAGTTCTTGGGTTTTCTTCAGGAAAGCCTGAATTTCCAATAATGTTTCTGATAAACCTCTTCAGATTGGCTATGCAATTCTTCTTGTTCAAGTTAGTTCGAGAAATCATGGAATCAAAGGTTCTACGCAACACAATGCCATGGATGGAGGCAACGGAAGATCCCAACTCTGTAACGCCTTTGTGAAGTCAAAGTCATTGAATGGAGGCAACGGAAGATCCCAACTCTGTAACGCCTTTGTGAAGTCAAAGCCATTTCAAACCCGCTTTTTCAATTTTTTTGAAGGCTCATCTACATTGTATCGGTGTTCTGAATGACTACCAGTAAAGTAGACTACATGACTGTATGCTATCGTCTCCGAGCCTTCTTGTACATTAAATTTTACTTTTCATGCGTCTGTCCATCAAGGATGTAAAAATGTGTCTGAAACAGGATAAGGTAACTGTGGATCAGCATCCCTCCACCAGTATTCACAGAATCAGCTCTCCACTATGTTCTCGGCATTGCGAGTATTAACATACCTACTTCAAGTAAGTCCTTTGCAAGCAATAGGTATTGTAATCATAATGCGGAAACCCAACATCAACAGCTTGTTTAGATTTCCAGCATCCAGTGTGGAGAAAAGCGAAACAAAAGAATCAAGCAGGCAATCTGACCAGCAGATCAGCCTTGATTACCTACACAGCTGCTGTGTAGTTCCATGGCACACCAAGGGGCTGGGTGAGCACTTGGGAATAAGATAACCATAAAAACCTACAGAACTGCAAGCTAAGTGACTGCCGATGCAGCAGGATAGCTAGGGCATGAGTGTGGCAAGCCACAGGGTTCAACAAAAAGACAGACGTGGTGGTGGTTCACTGTACGAGTTTGAATAGGCGTACGAGTTTGAATAGGCACTGTACGAGGAGTTTGAATAGGCACAAGAAAAAGAAGAAGAATCGAATCTTAAAAGTAGGCAAGGCGAAGCCATCAAGAAAAAGAAATATTGTGCAATGTGAACCCTGGCCGGAATTTGCAATCAAAATGACAAATGGACAAGGCAAAATTCAAAGTTGGAACACAATTTTCACCATTTTTGAAATCATAATAATATTCTGCTTAGCATACCAGAACATCATGTGTATACAGACCATGCAGACACAAGCGTTTGTATACACACACACACAAACACACACACGCACAACCACACACAAACAGCTACGTAATCACCGCTGGCTTATGGCCTCCAGGAGTTGAGGCGCCTTCTCAATGACGACCGTCATCATCTTCTCCACATACTCCTGCAGGCGATGTGCTTCACCTTCAGCAGATGTCAGAGCAGAGAACAAGTCCTTCTTGTTTGACGATGATGTCAGCTTTCCTTTGCTCTTTCCTGCGGCGGCTGCTGACGATTGTCCATGCTTGATCTGCTCTGTCTCCTGGAGCTGCACGATATCTCGCAACTTGTCTCTCTCTGATCTGAGAGCATGGATGACATCTTGATGTTTGCTGGCTTCCCGCCGCAGCTGCTCCACCGAGGTCTGTGCGTCAAACAGCTCCACTTGCATTGTAGTCATCTTGGGAATTTGCTTGGCAAGCTCTTCGTTCTCGCTCTCTAGCACTTTCCGCCCGGACAGGGCGCCATCCAACTCCGTCCGTAGTAGAGAGGACCGTTGCTCGTTGGATGCGATGGTCAGCTTGGCTTGCTCGAGCTCCACCAGCAAGTCTTCACGCTCCTTGAGCACCGCCGTGAGACTTTCCTTGACCGCTGCCTGACTAGCGGAGAACAAATCCGCTTGCGTTCTGCTGTCATCCAACTCCCTTTGCAGGGCCATCACTTTGGCCTGAACCTGCTTGTGATCGGTAGAGGAGCCATCGGCCTGTCTCATCATCAGCTCCAGGGAAGTTTTCAATTGGCTGTTGGCATCCGATAGCGCTTGGTTTTGCTCGCGCACTTTACCGACGTAGGACCGCTCTTCCTTGAGCTGAGCTTGCAGCTGCGCGCTTGAATCCTGCGTCTCTTTAAGCTCCTGGCGAAGACGGCCGACTCTTTGGTTGGACAAATGTTCGAATTGATCTTGATCCTGAAGCTTGGTGCGCAGGTCCGTGATGGCCGTAGTAAGCTCCTGAACAGTTTCGCTGCTACTCTCTGCAGACTTGCTCAGGCTCTTTTTCTCAGCCTGTAAACGAGTGAGCTCTTCTTGCAAGTCAGTGGCAAATGTTTGCTGTGCATCAAATCGACCACGCAGGTCCGCACTACTCGTCTTTAACTCTAGCAAGCGATCCTCTGCCGCTGTGAGTTTAGTGTTTGCAGCTGTCAGCGCACTGGCGGACCTCTCTAGCTCACTCTGCAAACGCGATACTTTCATTTGCTCGGTCTGCACTGTGCTACGTGCCGTGTCAGCCTGCTCAGACACAGCCCTGGCCTCGTCCTGTGAGCGTCTCAGCTTTGCTTGCAGCACATCCCGCTCTTCTTCCACACGTCGGCTCTGCTCCAGAAGACTGGCTTTAGTCATCTCCTTACTCTCCTCTAGTGCTTGCCTTTCCGATGTCAGGCGGTCAACTTTCTTCATCAGGTCACGGAGCTGCAGGCAACACACATCGGTCAAATGCAAAGCATATCAAGAGGGCGTTCGCTTCTATGTTCGTGAACAACCATCAACCGTCTTTCTTTTTCTCAAATCTGCTAAAATCTGCTCTAAGTTGCTAATGCTACGTTCTTTTGTCCACTTGGTAGAGCTGAGTAGAGCGACTGTTGGAAAAAGAAAAGATGGTAGATGGTAGTTTACAAACGCAGATCTACAAGTTTCGGTAGAACATCAATTTAACCCTGTGCTCTCACATCAGCGCAACTTTAACCGCGCGCCACACCATTAGCGCCTCCAAATGGCACTTGTCCATAAATCGCGCATGCTCATTGGAGCATCAATTTTGACAGCGATGTCCCAATGTAGCGCCACTTTTTTGATGTTTCACTAAGTGCAGCGCTACTCTTGAGGCAGTATTCTAAACACCGTGCTTTATCACGCTTTATGCTACTGTGGTTCATTCTATGGAGGTCATTCTTTGCCGGAAAATCCTTCAAAGTTACTATGGCTCTACTGTGCAAAACATCGAAAGGTGGGGAAGGCGCTTCGTGCAATGGCTATATCTATAGAAAGGACAAACGGAAGAGAGACGGGACCATCACGTGGCGGTGTACTGAAGCTGCTTGCAGAGGGAGGCTAATGACAACGGACGTGTTGCTGGAAGACGAAGAAGACTCGTCCCCGGAAGAAGTGGGAGAGCAACATAACCCTCCAAATCCTGAGGCAACTCAAGTCCGTGGGATAGTGACAAGAATGAAACAAAGAGCCAGACAGGAATCCCTTTCTATTCCTTCTATTTACCGGGAAGAGACAGCCAACATCGCCCCAAATGTTGCTGCTGCCATTCCGTCCTTTCATTCACTGGACGCCAGCCTCTATAGAGGTAGGAGAGAACGCTATCCGCCTTTGCCGCAGACCAGGACAGCCATAGTCGTGGCAGACAGTTTCCGCAACACTGTAAACGGCGAACGATTCTTCCTTGCTGGCTTGAATGGCAACGACATCACACTGGTGTTTGTGTCGGATGCAGATTTGGGTTTGAGATTGTGGAACAGTGAAGAGTGGTTTATCGACGGTACCTTCAAAGCAGCGCCCCTCCTCTTCATGCAACTCGTAACAATCCATTGCACGAGTGAAAACAAATGCCTACCCTTGGTTTATGCTCTTCTTTCAAAGAAGACTAGGCAAGCTTACAATGATTTACTTCGGTGTTTGAAAGATGCAGCTAATGAACGTGGCCTTGTGCTGCAGCTCAATGCGATCATCAGCAATTTCGAGTCAGGATTGGCACCCGTTATCACAGCAGAGTTTCACGACGCAATCCATCGCGGATGCTACTTCCACTTCTGCCAGGCTGTTTATCGAAAGGTCCAGGCACTAGGCCTTCAGCAGGTGTATCGGCAGAACGTTGAAATGAGGTCGCTAGTCAGAAGCATGAATGCATTAGCATTCTTGTCAGTAATGAACGTCACCGAAGCCTTCGAAGCCCTATGCGAGGAGCAAGCAGCCAACTTCCCACAGCTAGATGACCTTATCCAATACTTCCACCAGACATGGATCGTTGGCTGCCCACTGCAGCGATGGAACGTAGCCATACTAGGTACAAGAACAAACAACCACGTGAAGGTTGGCATTTTCGCTTCATGGCCATTGTGCAAAAGGTTCACCCAAACCTTTGGCAGGTCATTGAGGCACTTCAGAAGGAGGCATCGGCCACCTCAACTATGCTGCAGCAAATCACTGCTGGGCAACCAGTCCGAAGAACAGTGAAAAAGTATGCCAGGTTAAATGAGCGAGTATTGAACTTGCAAGGACGACTCCACCGTGGGGAAATGACGACAAGGGCCTTCCTGGAAGGTGTAGGATACAATCTGCTGCAGTAATTGCTACGAGTACAATTGCTGTTTACTTGCACAAAGTTGATGTTAACTGCTATCGAACAAAATTACTGCAAACTTTTATAACTTTGTTGTTTACTACATCTTACATTGCTATTGCTACGAAAGGACACTATTATGACATAAATTGCTGTTTAATTGCTTAAAACTGCTGCTTTGTTCAGCACCTTTGCAATCAAAATTTGAGCAGTATTAAGTATTGATGTGGAAAGTGTCGCGGTGTTGGGCCAGCGCTATGAAAGATTACGCTGTCAAGAGTCAGCGTTGCAGAGAGTGTCGCGGTGTTGAGCCAGCGCCGCAAAAAGTAGTGCTCCATTTAGAGGCGCTCATGTATGCTGCGCAATACAAGTTGCGCTGAAGTGAGGCCACATCAATTTAACAGCACGATGTACGATATTTTTGTGGAAACCAGCTCTCATGGTCACACAAGTACAGAAATACTGGCAGGTGGAGTCGGTAGAGGAAAGTAAAAACTACCGTTTGGGGTAGAGAAAGCAATAACACATCTACCGGATTTTATAGGATTGGGAGAACTTCAAAATTCAAAGGATCAGCCGGGGAAGTGAACTGTCTGAAAAGAGAATAAAGTTGCCAACCCCACCAGGACTCGAACCTGGGACCTTGCTTGTCATGAGCAGGGCTCTAGCCATCTGAGCTATTTTACCAGGCTGAACCTAGAAGGCGCGGACAAAATGTTCAGTCCAAAAGCAGCTCACAACACGTGCGACACATACTGATGGCACTTAGGTCTACCGAAAGAATTTTCAACCCAAACCTGAAGATCAAAAACGAACTCCCTCTAAGTAGACAAAATCAAACGCAACCCGGATCTTTGCATGATAATTATAAGGTCGTTTCCTACCCCACCTCCCCCAGCCATTTCACCACAAAGATTAACACCCGGCAGTACCTTCGTCACAAGCACCACTTTGTGCCCAGCAGATCCAATGCAAAAAGGGCATGGTGACACAACGGCACATTTCGGACATTACAATTATCTGTAAGTCACTATAGTGGCCATTTTAGTGATTGTAGCACAACTCCTAATACATTTTCAGATTCTACAGGTTGGAGTGCGTCAAAGCACATGACCGGCAGCTGGGGGACAAAGGCTGATCAAAGAGAATACTAGAATGTGCACACAGTGAGACTCCTGAACTCAAAGCAAGGCCTATTAATAGCCACAAGAGTCTTACCTGTTCGCTACTGCTGGACAGAACTTCCTTGAGTTGCAACTCAATGTCTGCCTTTGCTCTCTCACTTTTAGCTAGCCGTTGTTCAGCGTCGCCGCAGCGAACCTCTAGCTCTGCATGTCTTCGTGTCGTACTTTTTCCAGTTTCTTGAGCAAGCTTTACCGATTCCTTCGTCATTGCCAGCTTGTCCTCCGCTAGAACCAGTTCGTGCTTGGTGCGCTGTAGCGTCCTCTCTGCAGTCTCCTTCTCCGCCACAACACGCTCTGCGTCATTTTTCAGCTTCTCGTTCGATTCTCTGAGCGATGTGATCTCAGCTGCCTGCTTAGATTTCAGCCCCTTAAGTTCTCCAAGTTCTTGTGCGTTCCCTTCGACAATTCCTTGAAGCTGAGTGGTAACATCGTTGGTTGCATCCAGAGATGACTGCAAGCTCTTAGTTTTCCGTTGTAATTCGCTGATCAGTTTCGTATCGGCCTGTTGGCGTGTGTCCGAATCCTGGCATGCTGCCTTCAGCATGTCAGTGGTTTGCTGCAGGAGCGTTGTCTCGTTCTGCAGCGCATCGATCCGACTTCTCTGCTTGCCAATCTTGTCATTGGCGGTTTTCAGCTTGGTTTGCAGCCCAGCACTGTCAGTGCGGCTCTGCAGTAGCTGCTGCCTCTCCTCCCTCAGCTGACTCTCCATTGACTTCAGCTGATCGGCTGAGCTGGAGCTCATGGATTTGGATGCTTCAGAGACAGACTGGAAGGTCTTTTCCAACCGAGCTTGTTCCTTCTCCAGCACCTCTCGACGAGTAGTTTCTTGCTGTAGGCTAGCTTCTAGGCTCTGCACCCGTGTTCTCTGTGATTTAAGCTCTTTGGTAGAGGCCAGTTCTCGGCTTCGGTGGTTTTCATCGGATGCTTTGAGTTGGTCTATTGTGGCGCTAGTTGACTTCAACTCGGCATTTGCCTTTTCGACCTCGTCCTCCGACTTAGTCAGCTTTTCTTTGAGAGATGTGATCTCCTTCGCCTGCTCTGACTGGATTGTTTTCATGCTGCTAAGTCGCGTCTCCTGTTCCTTGATACTTTGCTGAGTGCTACCCTGAGACTCGCCCATGGCAGAGACTTTCTGCAGAAGCTTGCCTGCTTCCTCCGTCTTCTTCTTGAGAGAGCTTTTGGCCTGGATGAGATCCTCTGTTAGGTTATCCAAATCAGACTGGAGCTGGGTCTTTTCCAAGGCATTAGAGGCATTCAGATCAGTTGCTGCTTCCAGCTGACCAGTCAATTCAGCAATAGTTTGCAGCTTCTCCGCAAGAGTTTTCTCGCTCTGTTCTAAGCCATTACTAGCAATACGGACTTCCTGTGTCAGCTCGTCGATGCTTTGGTTGAGGGTCTGGATGGTAGCGGATTGCTGTGTACTGTTAGAGAGGTGCTCGTTAAGCTCCTGCTGCACGCGCTCACAATCCTGTTGAAGGTGTTGTTGTTTGTGGCGGTACTGCAGCAATTCCTCATCCTTGAGGCTCAAGGCCTTTGAAACCTGCAATTCCTGACTCCTCAGCAGCTCGCATTCCTCAGTCAGACTCTGTACACTGTTGCGTAACTGCTCGACCCGATCGGAGTCCTTTCCCTTCTCCTGATTTATCTTCAGCTCCATTTCTTGTAACTCCATTTCAGCGGCGCAGGCTTGCTCTGTTAGCTTCTGCGTTTCCGCTTCATGCGTCTTGCGGTCTGTGCGCAGTTGTGCTTCAAAGCGGTCCGTTGTCTGTTTACTATCAAGCAGCTCTGCTTCCGTTTTCTTGAGCCGATCTGTAATCTTGGTGAGCTGGCCTTGCAGCTGTTGTTCCTTGAGCTGCCAGTGCGAGAGCTGGGATTCGCTGGCTGACAGCTGTGACCGAACATGGAATAGCTGCTCCTGGGCTTCTCTGGCCTTCTCTTGCCACTCGGAGCAAGCTTTCTTTTCACTTTGCAGAACACTGTCCTTTTGGGAGTGCTCTTTAGCAGCTCTCATAGCTGCATCAGCAGCATTCTTTGCATCTTGACACTCACGTTCAAGGTTTTTGTTCTTGGCTGTCAGTTCTTGCTCCTGCTCCAATAGTTTGCCTATCGTGAAATCCTTGGCAGTCAGGGCACCCTCTGCAGCTGCTAGCTTTGTGGAGCACTCCGAACTCTGTCCTGTTAGAGATGATAGCTGCATGACCATGTTTTGGCACGTCTCCTGCTGGCTTGTCGCCATTGCCTGGGCTTCCTTTAATGCCCTGTTGCCATCCTCCAGCATGCTCTCAGCTTGCCGTGCCCTCAGCACCGCCGCACTGCACTCGGCACGCAAAGCTGCGGCGCTGGCTTGCAGCTCGCCATTGCTGGTCAGCTGCTCCATGAGCTGCTGTTTGGCCTTCAACAGCTCATCGTATGCACGGTCTGCCGGTGATATTCCCGTGCTGGGCCGCCCGCTTACCGAGACTTGCGATATCCGATGAGCAACAGGCGTTCGTTGTTCGTCGTTCCAAGATGATCCGATGGGATCACGGCGGTGCGACATCCTAGGGCTATTTCTGCCGCCATCAGGAGAGTCCAAGTGCTCAGTACTGCCAGTTGGGGTGTCTACTTCTGATTTGTCATGTCTCCCACTCAGGGCATCTTCAACGGCTATCTGCACACTGACAACTGATCGATTGCACACCGCTATCTCTTCGCGTATTTGCCGTTGTTCCTCGCTCAGCTGACACTGCAGTTCCTGCATCATTTCTTGCAGCATGTCGCGGATACCGTCGTTCACGGCCAGGGATGCTGCCATGACCGGTGGCTGTGCCCTGGCGGTGGAGCGCATCACGGGTGCGGAAAGCTGGGCGCCGATCGGCGACGTTAGGCTGCACGACTGCAGTGGGCGAGCTATCACAAGATTGACGGTGCCCTGCAGTCCCTTCAGCTTCATGGCAACGACCGGGTGCGGCACACCGCGGCAGAACATGTTGTTGAGTTCCACAATCTCGTCACCCGGCAGCAGAGTCTGCTCAGCGACACTGCCTTCCCGCACAGCCTTCACAAACACACCCTGCAGCGCTGTACCGGTTGCTGATGTCATCGAGCTAGTATCATTCAAGTTCAAGCTGGGCGACACGGTCTGGCACGCAAATGTGAACCCAAGACCAGTGTCTTCGTTACGCGTCATCTCCACGGCTAGAAGCGCACGGCCAGTTACAAGGCTGAACAGCTGGTGACGAGCAGTAGGCTTGTTTAAGTGACTTGGGCTGGCCGAGCGCTTTGAAACAGCACTATAGAATGACATCTCGCCAAGTGATTGCCGACTTTCCGAGCGCAGTCCGTTGGGACTTGACTGTGACGTGCTGGACTTGGCTGTGTGGTAGCTGCTTGCGTCCACCAGCGAATCCATCGACGCAGAAGCGCTGTTAGTGGTGCTGGGCTGGGACATCTGTGCGTATGTATCCTCCATCAGTCTGATATGGTCTTCGCTCAGTGCCGCGGTCACCCGCTTCTCTTCTTCCAGCTTGGTGCGAGTGGCCTCCAGCACTGCCGTCTTGTCCGCAACCAGCGATCGCAGCGCCGATATCACGTCCTGAAGTTGATTGTTCTCCTCAGCCATTTGACGGCTACGTGCCTTCTCCCGACGCAGAGCATCCTCCGCTGTCGTCCATTTGTTCTGGTACTCATTGGCCTTGGACCTGGCCGCATCCAGATCAGCCAATGTGGCTGTCAACTGCTTGGAAAGCTTAGACGTCAGCATGTTGACAATGGGATGAGCCTCCTAGGGACACTACTTCGCCAATTATTCTGCTGGAGATTCCTGCAAATTGTTCATGACAACAAAAACACAACATATCCATCTCATAAATATTCGGATAAGGGCCAAAAATGGATCCATTTTGTGCACATTGCTTTATAAGCTGGTGTTATAGATTCTTTAAAATCATGACCACAGACACGCGCACACCAGGCGCGTGCACCGTATGAGTTTTTTGGTGTCTGGAAACCACCTTTTATTGGGCAATCTTGCCAAAGGAAAAGTGTGCCTACTTGATTGGTTATCCTGCGTACGCGTCGATCGACGGGCAGTTTACAGTACAGTGACTATGTCCTTATTTCGAAGTGAAAAGAGAGTTGCTTTGCATGCAGTTCAAAATACAGTATTCTCTCTTTCTGCAGTGGAGAGTAGCCACAAAGAGATCGATCTCTAGCTCTGGTTCGCTCCTGGATTGGCGATGACATTCAAGAAATCCGTTTTGTCTTGAAATTTGAGTCAAGCACGCGCGATGCAAGTCAGTTCAAGGATATGATTGACGATATCTCCTTCCAAACTGTTGACTCACATCAAGATCTCCACAGCCTTTCGTTCTCGCTCATGTGCGCAGCAAAGATGTTCGTCAAAAACATTGTCGACTGGAAGACGTAAAAATGTGCGTCCATGATCCACTTGCGTTGCTTCAGAACGAAGTGCTGTTCCGGCCGCGACTCAAGGACGCGGGGCTTCGCGTTTCTTCCGCGAGCTTCCATTGAAGCAAGGTCCATAACTCTTTATTGAAATCATGTGGAACATTGCCAATACATGCTGAAAACTTCGTCATAAGAACAGAAAGAAAGATACGTCGACTGTAAGCCGTGTTTTGATGAAACAAACATGCCTGGAGTGGAGTGGACTAGTGAAGTACCATAGACATAGTGTTATAGATTGTAGTGTAGCCTGCAAGGCGGCTAGGCCTATCAAACGTTTACGTGTTCAATATGACAAACATGTAAAGTACATTGACTTTTGCACCCTCTTTTGCAAATACTTTTTGAAGTGCTGGTATGTAAAAGGTAACCCGTTTTATCCTGCTACCAGTTATACATGTACCAACATTTCCATGTAACATCGTCCCCTCCCTCCATTCCTCATTACACTTATTTCTGTCCTTTCTACCCCTGTACCTGGTCCCCTCTCAGACGCGTTTGTGCCGGCATGATCTGATGATAGCAGTCGGACGAGCCCCGCATCTCATCAGCACCAGTGTTCATTGGTGCCCTGCACCCCTGATCTTGAGTCCCCTCCCCCCCCCCCCCCTCCTCCCTAGCCCTCGCTGTTATCTTCGACGGGATGTTCGGGGGATGTGCATGTGCACAAATACATAATTATACAGTGGGTCTCCAGAAAAAATTACCAACTCTAGAAACCCCCTTTCAAGACTCGGTGCACGCCACTGCACACCACACACGCACACACACCATGTACCATGTATACGCCCGTCGCAAGAGAAGCACGCAAATCTGCAAATGCACTGGATGTGCACCCACAGATTTTCTCTTTGTAGCAACGATAGCGGATTTGAGTCTGATTGAAACAGATCAAGACAAGCGCCAGATAACTGTCTAATCCACACAACTGGCGAAGCCAAGTGAATCGACCCCCCAATGCACACCTGGTCTACACCACACGGAGTACATCGGAATAGGACGGCCAAGACAGTTACCTATGCACACCCTACACTTGCTGGGGTAACCACACACACACACACACACCTGCTCCCTGCCAGAAAATGACCGCGTGGGTCTCTCCTGGGGAGCGGGGAGAGGGATTCGGAAAAAATCTAGGAAAGATGACTTCTAAAAGTGCTATTATACTGCCCAGCGCGACTCAACTCTCAAACCACCATTCTACGGAGGACTTTAAATGTGACATATGAATGTTGTGATGCGTAAAGCCCCTAATGTCACGATCATGTGTATGTTGAAACATGGCCAAAAAGCTAACCCTGTATAGTTTGGCCTCTACACCGTCAATTTTTACCGGACGATTGCATGGCCATTTGGATGTTTGCCAGAAACTTTGAAAATGATGCACAGGTTTTCGCGATTATTCGGGAATATCCAAGGCCATCTTTTCCTGAACACACTGTATTTTAAATACTCCAGTGGGACTAGGAGTTCAGTGTATAATGTATTGTGTATGATCGATTGGCTCGGATATTTTTCTTCTTCTTTTTTTTACTCGGTCGTAGATCTAACCCCTACGCGTATCAACGACAATAGAGAGTTAACGCTTCACGTTTTTTCAGCTTCGAACGTGAGGTCTCACGTTGCAACATGAGCTTTCAACGCGACATGACAGTGCAGTGGACCATCTACATCTACTGTTCTTTCAATCAAATGAACCCCTCGATAGGCACATTGCCTTTGGGTCATTTCATAATAATAATAAAATAATAATAATAATCTCACCGCGAAAAAATGTGATTCAACGCACGTTTTATTCTCTCTCATGTTCGAAATTGAAAAAAAAAACCGTGAAGCGTAAGCTCTCTAATGGGGACGGGTGTTGGTGTTCACGACGCTACAGACCATGTCCGACGGAGACAAATAAAGCACGGTGGTACAAGAAGACTACAAAGTGAGGAGCGTCTTCTGCATACCACACATGATGGTAAGTATCCTGTCCACACCATCTCCCACGAAGCGGAGTCCAAGGTTTGAATTTACTAAACAACTGCGAAGAACAGTCCATTCAAATATGCTTCGCTTCGAGCAACTCTAGTTCGTTGACAATAGTGAGCTAAGACAAAATTATCCAAAAGCAGCACGCAGAACCTACCATTACCATTCCAGTGTGCCGGCATTTGAAAGTCACCGCCGCACCATCCCTACGCCCACCGGTAGTGCGTGGCACTACACGGAGCGACTGATTCGCGTTTGAGAGGTTCAGCATGCAGCTGCTCACAGGCCGACACGATGCCACACTACCAATGACTGGTGCACTCCTCACCTTTCTTGAAGTTGAAGCCTTTCGGCCGGAATTATTTGGACCTGAACGCTGCGAGCTGAAAGAGGTCGGCAGAATAGCATCGAGAAAATACGATGGATGCACTTCGTTCACGTGTTGACGTCTTTGCACATAAACATGTACATACAATCATCATGGTCGTGTTCAACTGTTCCTTGTATTTGTACTTGTACTAGTTGTAGGTCTACATCACATACAAGTGCAAACAGTCTTGATCTTTTTCACGGTGCATCCACTGATCCAGTACTACTGTAGTTGAAGTTGGTTGGGAGTGTGTCACCTCTCACCAGGTAGACGAGCTGTTTGGGTCAGATCGCGCGATCTCGGTGTCAATCACACATGGGGGAAGGGGTAGTCAGGAGCAACCAGGATTTGTGTCGGATGATCACCAAAACTGTAACTAACTAACGTTATACTTGGCAGAAGCCAAAAGTATCAATCAGGTCTAGGCTGTCTCAGTGTCTGTGCCTACACGGCTACACTACAGCACAGAAGCAGAGCCCTTCTGAATGAAATCCGAGGACTGAGCCTGAGGACCGTCTTGCTCCATGAAATCCGATCTTGTGAAGGTGAGTTGCGCGAGGGCGTGGTATTGACTCACTTGATCGGATTTCATTGAGTAGTTCATTGAGTAGTTCATTGAGTAGTACTGACTGTAACACTAATCCTGTACAAGTCACTCGGCTTTCTTGCCTACCGCCGAGTACCGGTATCTACTAGTACTTCTTTGGCGCGGCTTCGCACCATGCGGTACTGGAGCATTGCCGATTTGCACTCGACAATGACGACGACGACGATGACGACTACGACGGAGATGCAATCAGACGGCAGGAAATGGGAGCAAAAGAAAATAAGTAGACTCTTACTAACTAGTCAAGATTTTATGACCTGGGGCTCCCCACTTGCTGTGGGTACGTGAAGTGTGTGGGTACAGTGAGGGCTGCGTCCCACCCGCCTGTGTGGATTCACAGGAAGTGTGAGTTACGAAGTCTGAAGATGGGATGACGACTACAGCATAGCTCAGTGGTTAGAGCATCGCTGGCTACAAGCGAGGGTCCCTGGTTCGAGTCCTGGTGGTGACAGTCGATTTTTTCTTCAGACTTTTCCCGCTTGTGTCTTTCCCTCAAACTAGTCAAAACTCTTACTAAAGGCAAATACTTCGTAGGAGTGTACGCCCAATAGCCCTTGGAAGGCTTGGTGTTCTGTTCGGTTTGTAGAGAGGAGTACATTGTATGTACTGTGTGTGTGTGCTGCCACCTTTATTGGTTCCAGGGTTCATATACTTTCTATTTGAAGTATACATACCTGGACTGCCTCTGGCTATATTAAAGGGGAAGTGCATCGATTTTTCGAGTAGGGTCCAGAAGAAAGACAATTTGATGTCGGTTCGAATGGCATATCTCTCGCTTCCATACGATAAGCCAAACTTGCCAAATCGCCAATTGTATGCTCACGTTGCCATAGCGACCAGCGCAGTGATGACGTACGAAAGGCTTAGCTCCACCACAGAGAAGGTCGATCACTGCAGAATTTGGTCATTTTCAATTGGTTTATTGTATTCACGAAGTGAAAGAAGGGCTGTGTTCAATGCTGTTAGTGCAGTGAACTGTTTGTTAGTAGTCCTCTCGGTTGTGTACTGGGACGTGACACCGACAGGAGAAAGCTGGAGTGCGGAGACACCAGCAGACAAGCGAAAATAGTGACGAACAAAATGCTGAAATCTTGGTTGGGACAAATCAGACGTTCAGCATTTCCCCCAACCAAGGACCATGCCGTTTGCTCTTTCCACTTCCTGAAGATGAATGTGATGCTTCCTGGCGACTCTGCTATCTCTCGTAACATCTTCTGAAGCCAGGTGAGACGACGGGTGGTGGAGATTGACGAATGAAATAAAGTCGTAGGTTTGAAAGTTTGCAGAAAATGTCTCAGGAGAGATGGCGAATTCCAAGCATCTTGTCCTGGAGGAAACCATTTCCTAGGCGCAGTCAGCCTAGGGAAATGCATGAGAAGGGCGATAAATAGTTCACGACACTAACAGCATTGAACACAGCACTTCTTTCACATCGTGAATACAATAAGACAATTGAAAAATGACCAATTTCTGCAGTGATCGACCTTCTCTGTGGAGGAGCTAAGCCTTTCATACGTCATCACTGCTCTGGTCGCTATGGCAACGTGAGCATACAATTGGCGATTTGGCAAGTTTGGCTTATCGTATGGAAGCGAGAGATATGCCATTCGAACCGATATCAAATTGTCTTTCTTCTGGACCCTACTCGAAAAATCGATGCACTTCCCCTTTAACTCTTGTGTAATCGCTGGTGCTAGTGAAGCTTCTCTCAGATCCACTCTGATTTAGCCACCCACACTAGCAAGTATTACCTTCACTGGGGGCAGGGGTAACTGCAGTTGGATCCCAGGACGGATACCCTGATGCTTTCAATCCTTTTTCTGATTGTGATTTTCTGCAATGACTGATTGAGATTGAAATCGTACAGATTTGCAGCGAAGAGATCATTTGCGTTTGTGATACCGTATGGCCTCCATGTGATGAAGTAGCAGCTGTTGAGCTTGCCCACCTTTTAGAGAATTGTTTCATACATACATGTACATAATTGCATTTACAGTCAACTTCGCTTATAACGACACTCGGCGGGGCATCAGAAAAGTGTCCTTATTCGCGAAGTGTCGTTATACCCGAAGTCTATTATGTGTCACAGTTGGATGGGACTTTGCTCTGGGCATGAAAATTATGTCGTTATTCGCGAATTGTCGTTATATCCGCAGTCGTTATTAGCGAAGTTGACTGTACTGGTTTGAGGGGAAGATGAAAAGTCTGAAGAAATTATTGACGGTCACCACCAGGACTCGAACAAGGGTTTCATTAATATGTGTTATACAGGCGAAGAACGGCTGTGAACTCGACGGATTGTCCACCAAATCCTTTGTGTGGTTTCTGCTTTTCGAGCAGAATCTGCGAACCGTTTCGAGCATTATCTGCCCAGGCCTAGCACACAAGGTTTATGCCACACGTCTACCACGCAAGGTCTATCGCACAAGGTGGATCTACATGATTGTACATCACACAAGGTCTATCACCCAAGATACACTGTGTACTGTCTATCACACAAGGTCCATCACACAAGGTCCAGCACACAAGGTCCAGCACACAAGGTCCAGCACACAAAGTCCAGAACACAAGGTCCAGCACACAAGGTCTATCACACAAGGTCCAGCACACAAGGTCCAGCACACACGGTCCAGCCCACAAGGTCCAGCACACAATGTCCAGCACACAAGGTCCAGCACACAAGGTCCAGCACACAAGGTCCAGCACACAAGGTCCGCGCACACAAGGCCCCGCGCACAAGGTCCAGCAGTGCCAGCACACAAGGTCCAGCACACAAGGTCCAGCACACAAGGTCCACCACACAAGGTCCGCGCACACAAGGCCCAGCACGCAAGGTTCAGCACACAAGGTCCAGCACACAAGGTCCAGCACACAATGTCCAGCACACAAGGTCCAGCACACAAGGTCCGCGCACACAAGGTCCAGCACCCAAGGTTCAGCACACAAGGTCCAGCACACAAGGTCCAGCACACAGGGTCCAGGACACAAGGTCCAGCACACAAGGTCCAGCACACAAGGTCCAGCACACAGGGTCCAGCACACAAGGTCCAGCACACAAGGTCCAGCACACAAGGTCCAGCACACAGGGTCCAGGACACAGGGTCCAGCACACAAGGTCCAGCACACAAGGTCCAGCACACAAGGTCCAGCACACAGGCTCCAGGACGCAAGGTCCAGCACACAGGGTCCAGCACACAAGGTCCAGCACACAGGGTCCAGGACACAAGGTCCAGCACACAAGGTCCAGCGCACAACGTCCAGCACACAAGGTCCAGCACACAAGGTCCAGCACACAAGGTCCAGCACATAAGGTCTATCATACAAGGTCCAGCACACAAGGTCCAGCACACAAGGTCCAGCACACAAGGTCCAGTACACAAGGTCCAGCACACAAGGTCCAGCACACACGGTCCAGCACACAAGCCAAGGTCTATCACACAAGGTCCAGCACACAAGATCCAGCACACAGGGTCCAGCACACAAGGTCCAGCAAACAAGGTCCAGCACACAATGTCCAGCACACAAGGTCATACGGTCTATCACACAAGGTCCAGCACACAAGGTCCAGCACACAAGGTGGAGCACACAAGGTGGAGCACACAAGGTCCAGCGCACAGTGACAAGGTCCAGCGCACAGTGACAAGGTCCAGCGCACAGTGACAAGGTCCAGCACACAAGGTCCAGCGCACAGTGACAAGGTCCAGCACACAAGGTCCAGCGCACAGTGACAAGGTCCAGCGCACAGTGACAAGGTCCAGCACACAGTGACAAGGTCCAGCGCACAGTGACAAGGTCCAGCACACAGTGACAAGGTCCAGCACACAAGGTCCAGCGCACAGTGACAAGGTCCAGCGCACAGTGACAAGGTCCAGCGCACAGTGACAAGGTCCAGCACACAAGGTCCAGCGCACAGTGACAAGGTCCAGCGCACAGTGACAAGGTCCAGCACACAAGGTCCAGCGCACAGTGACAAGGTCCAGCGCACAGTGACAAGGTCCAGCACACGGTGACAAGGTCCAGCACACAAGGTCCAGCGCACAGTGACAAGGTCCAGCGCACATTGACAAGGTCCAGCACACAAGGTCCAGCGCACAGTGACAAGGTCCAGCGCACAGTGACAAGGTCCAGCACACAAGGTCCAGCACACAAGGTGGAGCACACAAGGTGGAGCACACAAGGTCCAGCGCACAGTGACAAGGTCCAGCGCACAGTGACAAGGTCCAGCGCACAGTGACAAGGTCCAGCGCACAGTGACAAGGTCCAGCGCACAGTGACAAGGTCCAGCGCACAGTGACAAGGTCCAGCACACAAGGTCCAGCGCACAGTGACAAGGTCCAGCGCACAGTGACAAGGTCCAGCACACAAGGTCCAGCACACAAGGTGGAGCACACAAGGTGGAGCACACAAGGTCCAGCGCACAGTGACAAGGTCCAGCGCACAGTGACAAGGTCCAGCGCACAGTGACAAGGTCCAGCGCACAGTG